AAAAAAAAAAAAAAAAAAAAAAAAATTCCATTGCCTGAAAAACCTCCATGTTTTATGAACTGTTTAATTATAATGGAGGTAAAAAAAAATCAGGACTGGTTTTAAAGCCATGAATCTGACATATGGAACACAAAGAACAGTAATCAGATTAAGCATCTAATCAGGATGATCAACATGAGCTGTAGAAGCCAGCATTCCCTCTAGGTCATATGGCTGTACGGAGGACTGTTTTGTAGTTCTTCCTTTTATATCATTACTTTTAACCACTATTTCAGTCATAATTTAAAGAATATTTTGAAAAGATAATGCATGTCTATGAATTGACTATTCTTACTACATTTTATCAAAAAGGGGAAACTGTAATAAATTAACCAGCTATCCCTTTTTCTGTATTCTTAACAGATCCCAATTTTAATATCCTTCATGCTTGTAGAGCCTGCCCTGTGATCCTCACCATTCTAACTACTCAATAAATGTTAGCTATCATTTTTGTTACATATTTTTCAAGGTTATTCTAATCATTAGAAATATATAGTATTTACAGAATTAAACAACCATAATCCAAATATCTGAAACCCAAAATGATCCAAAATCCAAAATTTTCTGAGCCCTGACATGACACTCAAAGAAAATGCTCATTTCGGATTTTGGATTTTTGGATTAGGGATGCTCAATTGATAAGTATATTGTAAATATTCCAAAATCCCAAAAAATCCAAAATCCGAAACACTTCTGGCCCCAAGCATTTGGAATAAGGCATACTCAATCTGTAGTAAACACTTAATCAAGAAGTCATTGAAATGAACACATATAAAGTCCTGGTCACAGAGCCTAGCACAAACTAAATCTCAATTGATAGGTGCAATACTGAATGTCACTTTGGACTCAAGATTACAGGGTCTTAACCATTAATAAAAACACTGCTGCTTTGCCAATAACAGTATTTCCCAATGTGACAACATCTCCCAAGGATAACAGTGAAGATATTTGACCTTTGCTCTGGGCCAAAAAAAAAGAATCAGTGGTCAAACAAGTTTCAGAATTATTTGATTATTTGCATTAATCAGAATTAGGCAAATTTAGGTTTTTTCAGAACTACTCAGAGCCTTTAATATGGATCCTGAATCTACAAGAAGGAATATACATTTCCCAAATACATTTAATGAGGAAACTTCCATTTACTGAGCAGCTCTTGGGATTAGGGTTCTATGGAACACAGAATGGAAACGACCCTAACTCAATGGAAAAATGGAAACAGCACCTAAGTTCCCACAAACCCTTGTGCCTAGAGCAATATTTTCCCCAATTCCCAAACATATTTAATTGTAGAATCCTTTTTTTTTTTTTTTTGAGTAGCATCTATGGGATTACAACGCCAAGAAACACACCAGGGAAATGCTTGTCTTCAGAAATGTGGTTCTATTAACTAATGTGAACTAACACGAACAGAACCTAGCTTAACATCACCACTAACATGGGTTGTTCTAAGGGAGATGTGCTATGTGACAGACAAAATGTTCACCTCAACAAGTTATCACCCATGCACCTGCTGGGAGCTAAGGCTTACACACTCAGGCCTCTGCTTTTGTAATTCCCTTCAATTTTCCATTTTTTCTAACATCTCCGAGGCAACACCATTAGAGGAAAACCTGGGGAACTCAAACTATATAGGTACATTCTGCATTTACTAGAAGCAGTGACAAAATGCTACAGCTCTACCTTTATTCTCCCACTTTCTCCTTTTTTGCCTCTTCCAGGAGATGCCTGCCCACCAGAGTTGTACCTCTCACACACATAGTATACTACCTTTTTCACTTGCTATACACAATATTACTGTAGCTTATTTAAGTTCTCTTTTAATAAAATGCCATCATTCCTTCTTTCAAGGAAACTCTCACGTCCCCTCCCACAATTATCGCTTTCCTTGCCCATCTAATTTCTTTAAATAAATACATCTTTTGCTCCTAGATTCTCATTCCTCTAACTTGTGTATTTCCTTCAAGCGGAACTCATGGCCTCTTAATCAAAAGCTCCTTCACTCTTGGACAACTGTCTAAAGATGAGGTAGGAGGATCGCACATTTGACTCAAAAAAAAGAAGGCAGCTATGTTAACAGGGGGTGGAGAGTCACAGATCTCTTTCTACATAGTTCTTTTAGAAAGTAACGCACACGCAGAAAGCTTTAGAGCCCATCCGTATGCAAGTATAAATGAATTACCAAAGTTCCTCCGCAAAGTAAAATGCAGGGCTCTAATTCTGGGACACTCAAAGGAAAAGAGAGGCTGAAGTTTGCAGAGGGGCTGGTCATGGCACAGAACTCGTGATCCCCGGGGATGCGGCGGGCAGGGACCCGCCAGCCACGGCTCCATAAAGTCTCGCTTCCGGGTGCCTCTGCCGACCGTACGGTCAGCCTCGCCTGGGCCTTCCTCCCCGGACTCCCCACCCGGGGGTCGCGGGATTCCCCAGAGCCCTCAGCCTCAGCGCCGGGATCCACAGGCTGACGGGGGCTGGCCGGTACCTGGTCATAAGGGGACTTCTCCAGCATCTGCGTGCACAGATCGGCGCAGAGCTGGAACTTCCTGCGCCTAAAATAGCTCCAGGCCAGGAGCAGCGGCTCCATCTCTGAGCCCATGGCGGCCAGCAGGGCCAGCGAAGGACCAGGGCCCAGCCGAGGGAGGGCGGTGGGCGGGGAGCGGGGAGCAGGCAACGCCGGGCTCTGCCCGACAACGCGCCGCGGCTAAGGCCTTGCCAGAGAGGTGCCCGCCTCGCGCCTGAGAACAGAGAAAAGAAAAAGCACCCCAAGCAGAACTCAGCTACAGGGTTTGCCAAAACTTGGCTGCAAAAAATATCTGTACTTTTAAACGCTACAGAGTTCATTAATTTTGAGAAGGCACCCTGGCTAACCAAAAGAGGTAGTGATTCAGACACCTCTGCCCGGGGTCCTCCACCCCAGGAGGCGCGGTTGCCTAGCAGCCGAACGCTCTGCTTGCCCCGCCAATCCGGAGAAATCCCGGGAGTTGACCGTCTGTCGGCTCGGGGCCACTTCTCTTGGCTCATTTCTGCCCCTCTCACTTACCTGCAGATTCTAGAAACAACAAACGTGTGTAAAGCTTCTACAATACCATCCCGCCCATCAGGACCCAGAGGGGCCTAAAACTCTCCAGTCTATTTCTGGAAGTCCTTCTCACCAAATCTCAAGTGTCGAAATTGCAAGGGGCTTGCTTAGTCCAATCCACCCACTTTACAGATGGGAAACTGAGATAGGCTCACAGAAGAGAAATTACTTTCCTTAAATCGCGTGGAGTAGGGAGCTGGGACTGCAATCTGGTTGACTACATGCTGTTAATACTTTTGTTAATTCGAAGATTATAGGGATTCTGGATTATAAATTAGTGACATTTTTACCAAACTAGATAATGTATGCAAAGAAAATTAAAAAGGAGCTTTGCAAAACACGTCACCAGGCACATACGGTTTGTCAAGCGTTGACTTGTGCAGAGTGATTTCTTCAGGTACGTTTCTGACTTTTCCTCTAGAGATTCACACAGATGACATATATCTTTAATGGCAATGGTTATGAAAGGAGAAGTGTGACAAGGGATATTTTTTCCTTGCTTCCATCCTACCAGAGTGGGAAGGGCAGGAAAGGAAAAATTAACTCAATACTGCAGAACTTCTGATGATGTCTAAGTCTCCTTTATCTCTATAGATAAAGAAACAAGGTCATAGCTAAGGTAAGTCACTCCAGCAATTTTCTCAAACCACTGGGGTACCAAAATGCAGATATAGTTAATCTACATATTTGT